TAAAAAACAAGCAGGACTGATTAAATGATGCATGGTCCAATTAAGACATAGTAATTGTCTCCTTCACCATGAAGATGTACGATCTTTAGGGCTCACAATAACGAACTCTGTTTTGTTATGTAATGACAAATGCACAGAAAGATAGGACCAGGCTGTGAGAAGTCCTCACTGATGCTATCAACAACACCCACCACCTTTGGGTGCCTGCTCTTTTTCTCTGGCTTTGCCTGGAATAACACTCAAAAGTAAGGGACAGCACCAGGCCAGGAAGGTGGGAGGGTAACAGGTAGGTAAGGATGTCTCAAAAAAAAAAAAAAAAAAAAAAAAGCAAGCAGAGATCATCTCAATGAAGATACATCCAAGCAGTACCATCCAGCACAAACAGGGGAGAGCACCAGCTAAAGAAAAAAAATAAGAAAAGTGGGAACTGTAAGTGGTATAAAAAAAAAAGTGACTTCAGGCCAAATACATTGGCTTAAATGAGCCAAGTAATGCTGCTCCATAAAATGTTCCAGAAATACTCTAAGAGCTATATACCACCTTCACATCAAGAATATGAACACAGAGCCAAGGAATGTCAACCCACCAGCCCTTCCAAGGGGAGTAGAGCCCTCTGCTACTGGAGGCAAGGGGAGGCACAGGAGCTTTCCTGCATCACAGATGGGAGACCTGGACAACAACTTGTTCACAGCAGCAGGTGAGCCCTGTGTGCTACTGCTATTTCAAATGCACGTAAGGAAAGTATCATCTATGAATGCTCCTAGGAGCATATTTTGGAAGCTCAGTTACATATTTAATCTGTGCATTACAACTCACCGAGGAAACAGACTGCAGCAGTTTCCATAAAAAATTAAGGAATGTCTCTCTAGAAAGACAGAGGGCTTTATATAGCAATGCACACACACACATCCTGCTGCTCGTCACCCAAACACCGAAAGAGTTTGTGGGGATGTCAACCAGGCTGCAGGATTTCTGTGGTAATGCAGAAGAATTATCGTTCTCAGTCAGCAAACCCGCGTATGCAATCAGATTTTGGTAGGTGGATTTCAGACAACATCTGCTGTTTTTATTTTATTTTTTTTTTAATTAGGGCCACGTTAAATCAGTCTCAAATTTGCCCATTGCCAAAACATTTAAGTTCCAATGCACACCTCTCCATTGTACATTCAGTGCTTCCCATTCAAGCAAAGAACAATACCTGCCAATACACATTTGTGCACCTCACTTATAAAATCACAATGAAAATTACCAGAGGCATAAAGCAACTATTATGATAAATAATGAGCTTTAAAAAAACCCACACCATACACACAGAGTGAGAATCAGAGACACTGATCCTTCTGTGCTGAATGTTATTCAAGAGGATTGTCAGAGCAACGCTGAACAGATCAATTTATTTCCCTTTCTTCTCTCCACTTAACTGGATTTCATATACAAAAGTAATTGTTCCTATAAGAAACAACCCTTGTCCATGGCTTTCGAGGTTCAAAGCCTCAGACCTACATCTTTACTACTATTCGGGTTTCCATGGCAACAGATGATGGTGCCTTCGGAAAAAAAATATACTTTAATATTCTACAGTAAGTGCCCCAAATCATTCCCGTAATGTTAATGAAAACTAGAGCACGTGGGCCCGCACGCAAAGCATAACAGACTTTAAAAGTACAATTAAACAAGAAAAGCAGAGCTCAGGGACTTGCAGGAGGGAGGATGGTTAAAAAGGGCTCTGCATTTGTAAAAGAGAAGGATTATCCCTCAGAGATTCACAAACGCCTTTATACACACAGTGACCTTTCGCTGCCGCTGTCGAAAGAGGCAGTTTCACAACATCACCTTCTTAGGATTAATTGTTTATGTATTAGAAAACAAATCGAGCCAGCCAGGGATAAAAATAAAGTGGAATTGTGGTGCTAACAGCTCCCCAGAGGGAGAGAAAAGTGATTATTGAGTTAAATGGCTGCATTGTTAACAAGTGCCACACAGAGCAGCTCGCTCAGAAAGACCCGTTTTTCACCGCCAATTTACTGACAGCAAACCCTCAGCAAATGAACTCCTACTAAATTAAGGCTTCCCCCAAAAAATCTCCTTGCAGTTTGGTCCCTTTTCATCTCCTCTCCTGCCCGGACGAGCCGTGTGTAATGAACTCCGAGCTGAGTTTGAGCAGCCTTTGGGAGCAGCCAGCTCCACATCCAACTCTGCCAGCAAAACAAGGAGCAGCAGAGTGGGAAAATTAAATAAAGCGCTGCCAGCAGCAGAAAAACAAGTGTTAAATAATCTGGTGTGCAGGTCAACAGCCCCCATGTAAACTCTCTGTCCTACTTCCCCCCCCCCCCCCCCCCGCTGCTTTTTCACAGCTGCAAATGATTTTAATCTCTCTATTTATCGCCCCTGTTGTGCTAAAAATCCTCACAAAACAGACAACGGTAAAATGTGCGGCACTGCAGGAATGCCCCACTTGTTTTTGGCGGGAGGAAAACCGCACAAGGACTTTCAGGAGAAGAACTTCCCTGCAAGTAATGCTCCTTCAGCTCAAAAATCCTGAACCACTATCATTACCTGGCGCTACCTCTGTGTCTTGCACGGAAAAGCATTTAAATTAGCAGCTGACCCTAGACCTGACAAAAAGTTTAGAACCTCGAAAAGCATATGTTGAGTTACAAATAAATACGGAGACTGCAGAGAAGGGGAAGTAATTGCTGGGGAGAAGAGTTATAAATAGAGCGACAGAGAAATTATATAAAGAAATTAGCGTTAGCCAGCTCCCTCAGGATGAAATGAGGTATTCCAGGGAGAAGCCATGAGCATTCTGCTGTCTCTTTGTAGTATTCCTAATTTTACGTTGGGGATAATACAAAGCAGCAGCAGCTGTACAAATCGGGTAGGAACTGACTACATTTCCTCTTGACTTGTGCCTTTCCTATTTCCTAGTCCAACGATGACTTAAGAAAATATTTTCAAAATAAAAAAAACCCTAGCCAACTTGCACAGTGATTTTTCGGGATGTTTAACAAAAGGCTGCTGTATAAACGCGGTAGGCTTTGAAAAATAATCGGAGACGGGAGATATTTGCATCCTAAAAGTTATGGAGAGAGCACCACCTGATGGAAGATGCGGAAAGACACCGGTGGCATCAACTGGAGCCACTCCAAACTTCACCGAATTTTCAGGGACAAAGTGCACCTGCAAAACTTTGCTTTTTACCAATTAAAAAAAAAAAATCAGCTAAAGGGACACAGTCCAGACCGATACACTTCACAGCAGAGATTTGTTTTAAGGGTAGAAAACTTTGTCCTAATTTCAGTGCTACAAGCAGCTCAGAAAACATTAGGTATTGAAATCAGTGCCTCTTACTTTGGGTGGTAGGACGCACACTCAAATAGGAGGGAGAAGGAGATACTAATGATTAAAAAAGCCTCACAGTCAGTACTTCTGCTGAACTGATAATTAAAATATTTCATGGCTTTCCTAAAAATAATTGAAATATGTTAAATTTTCATGCGTTTAGCTCATATTACATTATCTCCCTCAAATACAAAGTGTCTTCTACCCCCTTAAAACTTTGCTATTTTCACAGAACCCTCTTCTTTCCAAGTATCTGGCTAAATGATTCATCAAAAGCCCAGGATCTAATCTCAATTTATATGACAAGTGTCAAGAACACGAAAACAGTTGGAAGGGAGAGAAAAAAGGGGAGGGGGGGGGGAATAAACAGCTCCACATATTGCTTACTCAAGGAAGCAGTTCTTTAACTAGGTTAGATTTCCCAGCCTCTCTAATAAATCTGTGCTTTGTGCAGTTGCCTAGCAATGCAAACAAGATCCCGGCGGTGTCAAAGGCAGCCGGGGTGACGGTGACACCTCCCCGGGCGAGGGTCTGCCCGGCCAGCCCCATCCCTGAGCCCAGGGCTCCGGGGAAGGTGTGCTCAGCATCTCCAACACGCCACTAGAGCTGCTTTCAAACAGCCAGAGTCATTCGAGCTGCTTCTAGTCATAAAAACCTTCTTGTGTTTGAGATTGAGCTCAACTTAGTTTCGTGCCTCCAGCACGCCTAAGTCACAAGCAGCGAGCTATATCCCTGTGTTAAGCGATATAACACAAGGAAATTTTACTCGTCTGAAATATACAGGTAGTTTTAAAATACTTCTTTTTCTTAAGTCAATAGAGGAGAAAGCTATAACTGCTTATTTTTTTAGCGTGAGCACAAACTGCAGTGAGAAAATTAACGTATTGCAAGATCCAGTAGAAAAACAAGACCCATGTAGCTTTGGATTACCTACAGAATAGCACAGGAGGAGAGAGCCAGCTCTATAAGCACCTGTCATCTTCAAGTAATTCAAACTATGCCTAAAGGAACTCGTAGGAGTGGGAAAATAGCCGGCTACTGTTACTGTACACATGCCAGGGAACAAAGTACTCCTTAACATCAGCGACAGAGAAAGTGACAATCGGGAAGGAGCCGATCCGAGTGGCTGAGCACCCCGAGAAAGTTCCCGGAGCTGTGACATGCAAGCGGTGAAACAGCTGCCACTGAAGTTCCCCGAGCCAGCCCAGACCCCTTTCCCTGAGCCGAGGGGAAAAGCAGCGGCTCCCCCCGCGCTGCACATCCCGCGGGAGCCAACTCCTGCCTCGGGCTCGCAAACGCTCTTCACCGCCAAAAAACACCCCACAGACCGCGCATCACAGAATAAAGGCGATGCTGTCACCTCCTGACACACGCAACTTTGGCAGGAGCGAGCCCCCTCCCCGGCCCGCAGCCCCGGCGGGACCCCGCACGGCCGGGCAGAGCCCCCCGCATCCCCGGCCCTTCGGAACCGGCGGTACCGAGCTGCTCGCTGCCGCTGGCCAGCGCCTTCCGAGGCGCCTCCATCCCCTGCCGCTCCCCGGATGGCACCGGGAGCTCCCTGCGAGGCCGCGGGGCTGGAGGCGAAGAGTTGGGGCTGCCTGGAGAGCAGCACCCGGAGGACGGAAGAGCGGGGCAGCGGCCGGGCGGGCATCACTCACCTGGGAAAACCTGTCCGTCCGCCCTGGGCAAGAGCTGCAGCAAAAAGAGGATCGCGGCGACGCCGGTCATCCTTCCCCGGAGTTCACCTGCCCTCCCCGCTGCCGCGGAGCCGCTGCCTCGCCGCCGCTATCCCCCGCATTGGTGGCCGTGCGCGGCGGCGGCCCCGGCAGCCGGAGCCGCGGTGCTGCTCGGCGGAGCCGCCGGAGTGGCGGCGGCGGCGGCGGGCGGGGAGCGCGGCGGGGCGGGCGGGGGGCGGGCGGGAGGTGCCCCCCGAGCCCAGCGCCGGCCGCGCCCGCGCAGAGCCGGCCCCGCTGCCCCGGGGGCGAGCCCGGCCCCCTCCCCCGGGGGAGCGGGCGGGGAGCGCGGCTGCCGGGCTCCCGGACGCCTATTCAAGCCCGGCTGCGCGCACGCTCAGCGCCCCGCGGTAGCGGCTGGAGCGCGGCATGGCGCGGCGCCGCCAGGTTTGGTTTGCTGCTCCTGCCCGGTTCCCAGCGAGGATGGCGAGGCAGCGCAGGGGCTGGCGTTAAGCGGTGGGCTGGGATTGGGGGTGGGATTGGGGCCGGGATGGGATGGAGGGAGCGACCCTTTGCTGGAGCCACGGGGGAGGCAGGGCCCCCAACCCCGCCGTTTGATGGAGCGGCTGCTGCGGGCAGATCACGGGCACCTGCAGCTGAGAACAGTCATTTCCATCCTTATTCACTCCACTTTCGGGAGTTCACTGGCGAACAGAGTCACACCGCACTCTGGGCACGCCTAAGGCTTAGGCACAGGCAGGGAGACAAATGCCGGGCACAATTCTAAGAATTGCTTTCCACAGGTAACTTCATGACCCAAAACGCATAGCTGCCCTAAGTGGGGGAAAACCCAAATAGGTCTCTGAATAGGGATCAGATCAATGTGGATCAATCACCTGAGCTGGAATTCACACAGGAAAAGGAGAGCACTGGCCCCCAGGGCAGAGTAGCTAGCTGTGCGGGCACCAGCGCAGCGGGGCCGGCTGCGGGCAGCGCCCGGCTCGCAGCGGGGTTCGCTCTGTCCCCGCTCTTAGTCGCGGCTGTAAGCCCAGCCCAGCCCAGCTCCGTGCCGGCGGTGCTGGCCCTGGCACGGCCGGGCCCGAAGAGGGCGGTGTTGGACCGGCGGGAGCTGCCGGGGTGCCCCGGGCAGCGCTGCCGCTCTCCCGCTCCCGACCACGGCCATGGGGCTTTAAAACAACCGCCTGGGCTTCCCTCTAAATACTACCAGAGCGCCAGAGATTTATAATTACCGCAGTATGGAAGTTTCTTAGGGGCCGGGATGTCAAGACTCTGCCTGGTGGGATAATCAGCAATAATTTCTTCACTGAAAGAATCAAGCACTGGAAGAGGTTGGCTTGGGGAAATTTAAAAAAGCACGTGGATGTGGCACTTAGGACATGGGTTGCTGGTGGGCTTGGCCCTGCTGGGTCAATGATCTTAAAGGTCCTTTCCAATCGGAATTGTTCTATAGTTCTGGAGTAACCACTAGGAACTGCACATTGCAGTCCTTGACTGGTCAAGCAAGAGCACCACCCAGAGCCAACGGAGACAGCATCAGTTTGCAGCTAATACTCCTCCTCAGCTGTTCACAGCCTAAGCCAGAAATTAGCTTGAGAGGTCCCTGTATCTTCACAGAGAATGGTTTGGGTTGGAAGGGACCTTAAAGATCATCCAGCCCCATCCCTGCTATGGGCAGGGACACCTTCCACTGCCCCAGAGTGCTTCAAGCCTCGTCCAGCCTGGCCTTGGACACTGCCAGGGATCCAAGGGCAGCCACAGCTGCTCTGGGCAACAAAATCCAACACTCAGTGCTAAAACTCCTCCAAGCAATGCTGTGTGACCCTCTCTTTAGGTTTCAGCATCACTTCAGAAATTAAGACACACCTCTGTCTTTCATTCAGCACAAGGACAACCACAAACAAGCACAACTGTAGATTAAGGGAGAGCAGAACAACAAGAAGAAAACCTCACTAAGTAATCTGCCCAACCAGCACAGTAGACATAAAAACCACTGGAATAATTTTTAGATCAGTGCAAATTGCCTGGGCAATAAGAACAAAGTTTTGAAACAAAGCAATGCTCTGTAAGAAGTGAATAAAACAATAGCAAAGAACAGCTGTAAAAAACAAACTCAAAATAAAGTTGTTTTCATATAAACAAAAGGGAAGAAACAGAAGCAAGTCTGGCATTCATGTTCAGAACGCCAAAAAATTGGTAAACTAAGTGATTTCTTGAGGTCCAGGGTGCTCAGGGAGTGAAAAGGAGAGAAGCTCAATACATCTTACAAGAGAGATTTTCAAACCAAGAAGTCTACAGCATAAGCAAGGTGATGAAGGGTGGGAGGGAAGATCTGGATAGAGAAGAAAGGTTAGAAATAAATTGCCTACAAGAATGAGGAAAAAACTGACAAGAGACAACTGTCTTGGGCATCAACTAGTGCAAAGGGAAACATTAGGCTGAACTAAAATCAGGCTAAAACCTTATGAAGGATTGTTTGAACTCAGAAACCCTTGTGAAAAAGGAAAACAACAAATCTAACATGTAGGATGGCTGCAGCAGGAACAGGATAAATTAAAATTAGGCATATGTAAGCACAAAATCTCAAAGTATGAAATTATTTCATTTAATGGCAAAGTCAATAGATATTTGTAACCTAGGAGGATTTAAATAGTCTTCCAGACAACAACAGCATCTTTAAGGACTAGATATATAGTGGTGGGATGAAATCCAGCTATTAAAAGAAGTTGTAAGGCGGGAGAAGGGAAATGAGAAAACATGCTGCAGATAAGGAACGTGGAATATAAAATAGAGAGACATGCCATCAGTATAACTCATTTACAGCTAGGGGAACTCCTGAGATTCAAACAAGGCCATAATGTTTGTTCATAAACCATCAAGCAAGACAGGGACAAGTTGTGCTCTAAAACTCAGGTGTTCACCAAGCAGGAACACACACAAAGGCTTTTATAATAGGTGGCTTTGGAGCTGGCATGAAGAATTAAAACCTCTACAAAAGGGTCTTGTTAGATTCTGTATTTCAGGGCTAGTGTGTATTACATGACATTATTTCCTAAAAATTGTGAAGAAAAGTTCTAAGTCTGATCCCATCCTGATGTACAACACCACAGCTTATTTTGCTGTTACTGATAACTCTCAAGTGGCTTAAAAAAGAAAATATTGACATAAACTCTGAAGTTTTCTTGAGCCTGTTGCTTGAGGCTTCTTGACTCTGTAAAACTGTTTCTTCACTGGGTCAGATGAGATGAAAAAATGTAATTATTTTATTTCCAGGGAAAAGCTGTACCATTTGTGGTGAGGAAAATGAAGTGCTAAACAACTGAAAGCACTGTCACGTTAGGACAGCAGATGCATTTAATCGAGGAAACAAATTAAACAAGATCAGCTCACAAAACTGAATCAATAAGTATGTTTTCGAGGTATTTAACAAAAAAGTTAGTATTTAAATATCTGATCCTACTACCAGGCTAGAATGGGAAGGTAGAGGAACTGCTCCAGTCCCCTGCAGTGTGTACAACATCTCCCAGCTCCAGCAGAAAGCTGACTCACAGACCACAGGCAGGCTGCCTCTGCAACAGACATCACAGCTCTGCCTGAAAATGAGTACTCCACAGCCCATGTGCTTGCTTGGAAGGGTAGGAAAACAGCTTTTTGCAGCTCTGCAGGATTCTTTGAGGGTGCACAGGTCCCCAAAACACAAGTCTGACTACAGAGGCAAAGTCCTAGAGGTACAGGAGAAGCTTCATTCCACACACCAGTGGAGGCTTAAAGAGAACCTCAGCTTTGAGAAGTTCAATACACACCAAGATCTGTCTGCTCAATGCAGCAAACTCTTTTTTTCTCTCCCAAGGCAAGCAGTAAATGTGTACTTGCAAGTAAATACACACACACAACTTACAGCTTTCATTACAGAGCTTCCTATTAGGCAGCATCCTGCTTAGAAACCAGGACTGGTGGGTGGAAGTTTTAGGTAAACTTCAAAGGGTAGATTAAAGTTTCCACTTCTTTATATTATGCATTGAAGGCTTGGGTCTAGAATGTGATCTGCTGGGCTTTTGTTGTCATGGTGTTAAAGAAAGGAAACTTAACACCTCGGGTCATTCTCCTGATACTATTTGCAACTTCACCATCTGCCTTCCTAATTACAATTTTTTATTATTAAAAACAAAACTGTCTCTCCAGTCCTGGTTTCATTTCTTTGTGCAGATTCATCCATTTTTATTGATATATACCAGCACATCCAGACATGCCATCCCCACAGGAAAAACAAACCCACACCACATCTGTGCATCACTTTAACCACTGAGGAGTTCATAATAAGCCAGCTCAGTGAGTATCAGGGAGAAGACCTCTGCCCAGTTCTCTGTACCCTGTAAGTGGTGCCTTATCTGTTTTTCCACTCCCACCATGCAATCAGCACAATTACAGATAATTATGTGCTCAAATACAGAGCCCAGCTGCTTTTTCCAACCTGGTTACAAGTTGAAATCATTAATCGATGTCACACACATTGGCATTGATCTGCCGTGCATTATCCTCATTAATAACTTTCTTCCTTTCTGAAGATAAAGAAATTAACTACCAGCCATCAATTATTCAGAAATACAAGTTCACCTTTAGACACGAACACAATGACACCTTCTGGGAAATGCTAAAAGGACCTGGATCTAGCAGTTTATTTTAACAATGCTGGATCATGGAAAAGCAATATATTAATACCATAGGCAGACACAAGTAAATAGAAAGGTACAGCAAGAAGGCAACATCAAAATAGTCTGAAAATGTCAAACAGCCCAACAGTTGGTTCTTCATTAGCAGCAAATTTTGAATTTAAACTTTATCTTCCCATATAATAGAATAAGTCAGAGGACCTTGATAAGCATCTTTCCAGAAGAAAGCACAACTTTCCATGGGTGTAGCTCAATTTATAGATCACAACTAATAAAATCCCAGAGGCAGCTGTAACACACAATGTTGAGCTTGCCTGGCTCTGTCTCACTCCGTGTGGCTGAAGAGCACGAGGGGCAGGACCTAGCT